AACCTACATACCTGCTAAGCTGACCCTTTAGTAGCTTCATTATGCTTGTATATTTGTGAACTTGCATAAACGCAGTTGCATACAATGCCATTCTGGCGTTTCGTATATACATTTAATACATACATATGAATGTGTGTACGAAATTCGCGAATATTAAAAAAAGGTTTATGTAAAAATCGGCAAGTGAAAAAATCCCAAAGGGACTGTTTTTTTTATTATAGAAGTATTAGTGCTGCTGCATTCTTCAAACTTGTACGCACTAGTTTTGGTTTACTAGAGGGAAGGTAGGCTGACTTCCAAAACGTATCAATACAATGTTTGGAAACTGTTATACTACGGTATTCAAACTGTTTGTATATGCAGAGTTGCGACACATTGCACCATATGCATTGCATATTTTAAATATTCAATATAGCAATGACCAATTTTTCTGAATTTTCCATTTCTAAAACACCAATGCTAACCAATAACAAACGAAGCATCAACTTTGTTTCTGATGCGCTGATTGCTCCAGCGATGCGTTTCGATAACTTTTCGGCGGCGTTTTGGAACAGTATACATTGTCAATATTTTGTAGTTCGACGTTATGGAACCTTATACTTTGTACGTATGCAAAGCAATTGACGTTTTGGAAGTTAGCCGTATTCTCCTTAACAAAGCCAAATTCTCTAAAGGAAATATTTAAGGACACGCCCTTACAACAAAATTTAGTATAAGGGGATTTTTTTTTAAATATTCGCAATGTTTTTCATATTAAATATTTTTTGTTAATTTTGTATTAAAACATGGCTTAGGTTTAACAAACACCATATAAATCGAAGTTTCAAACTTTGTACGAAATTTATGAGTATTTGCAGTTTCATGAAAATTACAAACTTTTTAATCAGTAATTTAAAAAATCCAGCATACGTTATAGCCCATTAAATTTTAGTATAATAATGTGCAAATTTTAAATTTCTTAAAGTCCGTGTAGATTTTTGATGTTTTTTTGCTGACGGTGCTACGCATTTTCTTCCGTATATATAAAATATATTTTCAGCATAGTCTAAAGTACATTCATACGTACATATATATGTATGTATTTAGGTAGCAACATTTTTCCTATCCATGTCTCATTACAAAAAAAAATATGAAAAGCATCTACTAATCATTATTGCCAAGCGCTTGCTGCCTGCCGCACCAACGGGCATCGCCGGCCACATGACTGCCTGCGCAACATTCACCACATTCGTAACCAGCGTTGGCATTTTAGCCGTTTTCCGGCTAGATTTAGCCGGTTTTGATAGCAACTAGCCGGAGAAAATTCGATCTAGCCGGCAGCCGATTTGTTAGCCGGTTTGTAAAAAAAAGTTAGCCGTTTTTAGCCGATTTTACTATTTGCCTAATTTTCAGGTGCAAAAAGTAAACAAGTTGTTCGAAAGCAATAATGCAGACCCAATGAAGATTTTTAATGAACTCAATGTTTTACTTTCGCATCTATGCTCCCTAGTGGTTATTAGCGCGGACACATTTGATCCTATATGCTCCCCGTTGGAACCATACCTTGCTCCATTTCCTCAGTTTTATCACAGTTTTGAAGAGTATTTAAAAACAAAAGTAAGCACAAACGCTTTTGACCACGAAGCCGAGAAAATAATTCGAGAAAATGGTCGCTATTTTATTATCACTTTAATAATATTACTTTAATAATAAAGGAATTACGCCAACGCCTCCCTACAAATATTGCCACACTAAAAAAAATTGACCTTTTTCGGTTGGAAATGCATTAAGAGTAATTAAACCAAAAGTATTTGTTCAACTACAGCAACAAAAACACAAATATAATGCCGACGAAATAACATCCATAGAGATGTAATGGCAACGGTTAACGTTACATACCTGGAGTAATTTAGACTCAACTGTAAAATTTTGGGCCGAAGTTTATCAATTTCGAAATGCCCTAGGAGAAAACCCTTTTGCTGACCTTTCCAACCTAGTTTTTAGTTTTCTTGTTTTGCCTATAAGTAATGCAGAAGTAGAGCGAATATTTAGTTCAATGAATATAATAAAAACCAAGCAAAGAAATCCAATGTGCGTTAAAACGTTAAACGCTATTTTATATATAAGATACGGTTTAAAACGTGAAAAAAAATGCTGCCATAGTTTTGCTGTAGATGACGATCTCTTAAAATTAATGAATTCAGGTGATATATACAATAGTGATTCATTTGATGATGAGGAATATACACTCGATATAAATTAATGGTGTTAACTAGTCTTTCGTTTCTTGCGATTTATTTAAATAAAGCATGTGAATTTTCACTAAAACATTTTAGCCGTTTTTTGCCAGAGTCTATGTGAAATTTCACTAAAACATTTTAGCCGTTTTTAGCCGCTTTTTTTTGCCAATCTAGCCGGTCGGCCCAAAAAGTTCTGGTAACACTGTTCGTAACATTTATTAGCTTGCTCGTTCAGTCATGAATGACCATCAGTGTTGCCAGAACTTTCTGGGCCAACCGGCTAGATTGGCAAAAAAACCGGCTAAAAACGGCTAAACTGTTTCAACTAAATTTCACATGTTTTATTTAAATAAATCATAAGTAGAAAGACTAGTTCTTGGGGAGAAGTTGCAAATTCAAGCTGGAAAAAATTTTGTCGACAATAATTTGAATAAACAGGTTCGTCAAATTTAAAAATTTACAAACTTGAGCGATTTTTAATAAAAAATTGAAGTAAAGACTTGTTTACTGAATTAGTTAGTTAATTCCAATGATTTGAAACGTACTCGTAATCCAATTTCAACCAGAGTCGATATAGTAAACGCGACAGTTAGTACGGCAAAGAAATTGAAACGTGTGTTTTTTGTCCCTTTGAAAGAACTTTAAAATTCTATTCAAATTTCTTAGTTTTTAAATACAACCGTCGACACTAGGTGGCAGAGAAACTTGCAAGTTCCTGCAAATTTGCGTTCGTGCAGAAATTTGCAAGTTTCTCTACTTGAGAGAGAATTTGGGAGCATTTTTTCTTACTAACTGATATTTTGAGTGATAATTTTCGCTGGATTTTCGACGAACAAACGTATTGTCTTCCTAGAGAGTTTTGCTTTACATAGAAATTTGTGCTCTTTTACTTTAATTTTTATGCATTTCAGTGCTGGTTATTTTAATTCAAGTTGGCCTTCGGTTTTTGGAATTTAAATAAGTTCTCAGGAAAAAAAGTTAGTTTAAATAAGCCCATATGTGTACATAGTGCCTGAAAATATCCATTTTCCCCTTGCCTTAAAACTTTAAGCGTGGGCAACAATGATGTTTTGTAATTAAGGCAGAATTGAATATACGCTATCTGGGAAGACAATACCTGTAACATTTATTCTTGGCAGTATATCCAAACACAAACGCCTGTTGAGCAAACAGTGAAACAATTTGTTATTTTCTAAGTTTGCGAATAAAACTTCACACTTAAATTTAAGTCATTGATAACAAACATTTTATGAAGAAAGTCCCCGTTACGGCCTTCTTTAGAAAAAAAAAATTTGTTTAAAATAAAAATAATCGAAATCGGCCCAATTTTATATAACCCTGCCTCCACGATAACGCTAGTAGCCATTTATAACAGATTTTGGGTCGCTTAGTCAAAAATGGAAACATATATATTTTAAATTTATAATGGCAACACTGATGACCATGGCCGATCGGTGAGCGTAAGTGAGCGTCGCTAGGAGATGATTTCAGTATTCACTCAAGAGAGGGATAAGAGAGTATTGTTATTGTTCTCTTATTTCGCTGTGAATATTCACCACGTTGTACACTAGCTTGTGTAAATAGAATGAGCAGTACATTCACATTCGACTAATGGTCTGATTATGCATACTTCGCATAAACTTCAAACTGTAATTTCGTATGTACTTTGTATGTATTTTGTATGTATTCCATTACCCAAAAATTAGCAGAACTTTTAAGAACTTAGCGATCTGTTGAGTTTAGATTTTGCTTCACATTTTCTTAAGTTACATTTTTAGTGCACAAATGGTTGTGCGAAGTTATGCGAAGTATGCATAATCAGACCCTTAGTCGTGTAAATGCTAGAAGTGAATGTCGCATGCAGGGTTCTAATAGATATGTTAACATGGAACACGTTAACATTTGCTGATCGCCACTTTGAGTGA